TTCGATCATATAATGATAGCAATTATTTACAATTTTAAACCATAGATCTAATTATAATAATAATAATAATAATGATGATGATAATAATAATAATAATAAAAAAAACAATTATAATCAGTAAATTGTTTATTACCTGATCTGGCGTAAAATATACGAGATACTGACCTGAGCAAATCTTGGGATGATGGAATTTTCCTGCAGAAGAACGCAAATTTCGGTGCTGCATGGTAGGCTATTCATTCAGGCATTTACTTGGTCGACATTTCGGGGTTTTTTTTATTGTGACTAGTACATTACTCACTTTGTGGCAGTTGTTCGGCTTTGTAATGCTAGCCATCGCAAAGGTCTGCATGGACATAGCCATCAGATAGTGTGCATTTGGGGTCCCCTGGGCTAATTCCAAGAGAGTGGGCTGTGCCACAAAGCTGTAGCGTGGGTGTGTTTTTTAGCTTTTCCTGTAATGACTAGCAGTGGTAGCTCTGGGTTATTATGTAAATCTGGCTAGGTTTTTACTCGAATTTTACGCAGGATATCAGGAGTTTTCTCTTTTAGGAAGTTCTTTCTTTACTAAACATTGTAGCTAAATACAGAGGATGTCACTTCGGTCTACTTTCTGTTTGGTCAATGTCAGAGTTATAGCTAATCGATTTGGATATTTACGGCAACAGAAATCTATCATAGTTTCTTCCAGCAAACTCAGATTCTTTGACTACATTTTGGTACCGATCTTTCATGGAAACGATAAGGATAGGAGATTGCATGGTTTTAGTGACTCTGGGGACCAGTAATGACTAACATGCCCTAACTTGTGCCCGTGTTATTATTACCTTATTACATGTTTTCGTGGAGGATCAACAAAAAATATATCAACCAAGCAAAACTGCATCAGAATGAAAGCACTGAAACAATTATGGTCGTTTTGTTTGAGACTACTTAAAATGAAAAGCTTTTTCGTTGCAAAATTCTTAGCACAGTTTACTACTTTCTCTTACACCAGTGTTAATTTAATCCAGGCTTATCTATTTTGGATCAGAATGTTTGTGATACACTCATCGTAGAGTGTACGGTTAAAAAAACAGCTCACTAAACTGTAAGATAAAATGTTTAATAAAGATCGTCATAATCTGGTTCTAGGTTCTCAATTTTATAGGTCTCATCTTCCACTGGACTATCCTCTAATTGTGTGCCAATCCCTTTGGACCATTCAAAGCAGTTAAAAAATTCCATGTTGTTCAAAAGTATGAATAAACTTAAGTCAACAAGGCTGATCACTCCAAATATGAGGAAAGAAGTTGTAGCACCAGCGTAAGTGATTAATAATCCACCAAGCACCCCTCCCCCACCATTACCCAGACCCCAGTGCACACCACCAAGAATGCCTTGCATTGTTGCAGGCGCCCCAGGAATGAGTCCCACGAAGACGACTGCCGCTGACCATACTGCTGCTGTGGACAAGCCGTGAAGGATCTCAAAAGGTAGTACTACCCAGCAATTTGTAATAAGGGCATAGCCAAAAAATCTGATTATGTAGCATGACAGTCCAACGTAGAGAACCTGGTGATGCCCCAGCCATTTGATGAACGTACCAGAACAACAGTACACTGCCACCTCAGAAATACAGTGGATAGCAGTAATGGTACTAAACAAGAACTGTGTCCCGCCTAAATCCTGCAAATGCCAAAACAAGAAAGTTTCTATAAAGCCCAATGCACTCCCACAGAACAGAATTGTGAAGATGAAGTATATATTTTGACAGTCACACAACACAGAAAGCCCTTTCCAGATGCTACTTTCGTGCGACTCTTTTTCGTCAAACTCAAACAAAGCACCAATCAAGACAGTCACGCCCATGAGACATGCAAAAGCGTAAAAGCATGGCAGGTAATCTACACTCAAAGGATTATTACAGTTACTCAGTTCTTCAATTGTGCTTAGACTTGATCCAACAATAAAGGCTGCTATTCCCCAGCCAAACGCACCCCATAGACGCTGCTTGCCGTAGTCTTCTGGTCTGTTACCTTCCAAAAAAAAACATACTCTGCTGCTAGATAAGTTTTGCATGGTTACCCTAAACTGTATCAGCAATTATTGATAACGCTCATTTAACGCTATTGCCGCAACTGCAACCTTACTATTACCACTACCACAACCTCTACCCCAACGACTGCAACGGTTGCGATTACAATCATAATCACGATTACGGCCACAGTCAGGGTGACGCAAACGTTCGCAGCTAGCATCCTCAACACTAATATTACCACTGCTGCTGCTGCTGCTACTGCTACTGCTACTGCTACTGCTGCTACTGCTACTGCTACTGCTACTGCTGTTTCTGCTACTTCTACTGCTGCTACTGCTGCTGCTACTGCTGCTACTCCTGCTGCTGCCACTGCTGCTGCTGTTACTCCTGCTGCTGCTACTCCTGCTGCTGCTACTCCCGCTGCTGCTATTACTAGTACTGCTGCTACTACTAGTACTGCTGCTACTACTACTATTGCTGCTACTACTACTGCTGTTACTACTACTACTGCTGCTACTACTACTATTGCTGCTACTACTACTACTGCTGTTACTACTACTACTGCTGCTACTACTACTACTGCTGCTACTACTACTACTACTGCTGCTACTACTACTAGTGCTATTACTACTACTGCTGCTGCTACTACTACTGCTGCTGTTACTACGTCTGCTGATGCTACTACTGCTACTGCTGCTACTACTGCTACTGTTGCTACTACTGCTACTACTGCTACTGCTGCTACTACTACTACTACTGCTGCTTCTACTTCTACTGCTACTTCTACTTCTACTTCTAGTGGTAGTATTGCTATATCAAGGACTCATCTCATTGTTTTACCCAAAAAAACCTGCTAAGAAGTAAAACGAGATATCCCAACAACGTTCACGTATGTTTCCAAAAGAGAACGTAGTAATGATAAAAGTGATCGAATGTCGACAACATTGATACACTCACCAAGGTTCTGCAGCGTGGCAGTGTCAGCTAAGGTAATGGCTGGTGCAGCAATTAGTGTACCAGTAGCTGTAATAACAAACAGGATGGTAAACAAGTCACGATCATGTGGATTTAACCACTCACGTGCCTCCTGTGTTGAGTCATAGCTCGCCACTGTGTCCAGAGGCCATGGATATTCTCCGGCCATGTTCAGGGAGTCGAAAACTCTTTCCATCCATCGGCTGTTGAATTCAGTGTAAAACTCGTTCTCGTTGATACTACTTGAATTCCGGAGAAGTTTTAAGATATCTGATTTCGACATTAGTGCTCTTTTATCCAAGCTGGCACGGCGTAATCTTTGGTCATCGGTGCCTAATTTGAAGTACTTTCCTGTTGCAATTAGACGGTTCCTATTCCTCGCTCTTTGATTATTGTCAAGTGACGCATGAACAATTCTACCTTTATAAACATTTTGCTTGCGAACCATGAAGCTGTTCACTGTGGGGGGGGTACTTGTATGGAATTTTGATCTGTCTAAAAATCGATTTACGTGTTTGATACCACTCTTAAAAATCAAAGTACTGTCGGCTTTGTCCTTTAAGTAGTGCATAATGTTTGCATAATAATTTCCTTGAAGTGCTATGTTTACTTTGTTTTGAATTCTATGCTTCAATGCTTGACCTGTGTTTCGCTTCCAAAGATGCTCTGCCCTCTCTTTCCTGATTATCTCAAACCAATGATTACTTGAATTTCCAGAGTTTACTGGAAAAGCTATGGAGGGTTTATGCTTGAACTGCCCATGATGATTTGTGTTATTCTTCTGTGGAATAGTTCTGTTTTTCATTTCCTTCATAATTTCTTGGATGATTGCTAAGGTAGCGTTATCACTGCAAACGCCCAAATGAAAAACGGGAGATACGAGAGATAAGGAATAGTTCGACACCAACCATGCAACCAGTGACACCACAAAGATCAGCTTGCTTTTCTTGTATGTATCTGCGATGATTCCCCACATAGGCGTTCCGAAAAGCTGAATCAATGGTCTGATTCCGATCAGTATTCCTGTTTCATGGGCGGAAAGCCATAACTGTTTATAAAACACTGCGAGATAAGGAAATAAGGAACCCACAGCCGAAAAAAAAAAGAAGTAAAAACTTTTGTAAATAATGAGACTTCGATTAATCTTTTGGCAGCATTTTAGACAATCTTCGTCTTTGTTTTCAGAGGTCCCTTCTGTTTTCCCTCCTCTAATGCTCTCGTGATCATCAGACCGCTCTTTGTCTGGTAGCCCAGTCAAATCACAGCTCTTCTTTGCGGCGTCTTCAGTGTTGTGAAGCATAAGAGCCAATCCGTACAACTCTCCCTCGCTCTCCATTTCAATTTCTACACTTCCCCTTTGAACGTTTTGATCTTCTGACGTCGTTGCTTCAGTAATCCTCACCCCCTCTTGTTTAAGCTGCTACTCCGATCTTACTTTCCCGAACATCATTTTACTGCTGCTCAAAGACAAGGTCAAACAACCTGCTTGTTTTTCTCACTTTACAGGTACCAGCTGAAAGCGACACTCCTAGTGCACTTTGCTATGAAAAATAAAACTCTGTTGTACTTATGATTTATCTGTATTCAGCAATTGTTTGGAAACTTAAAGCGTCAGTTGGTTAATTGCGGACAAAAAAAGTTCAACTAAAACGTCTCGAGTATGTTTCCACCTTATTTTCGTCTTTGTTTAGACTTTTATTTTTTTTTTTACCCTTTAGCTTCGTTTTGAAATTTTCATTTGGTCCACAGTTACCAATGGTCCACTGAAATAACATAAATTAAACCAAAAGCTTATGACCCAGACGGGTATAAATTCCCCTACATAGTAGACTAATAAGCTTTTGATTAAACCAAAAGTAACCCTGTAAAAGCATAGTTGAAATTAAAAGGAAGTGCTTAAGTTGTTCAATGATTTTGCGATTCAAGGATGAACATCTGATCTACTTGAAGTGATAGGTGTTATTTGTCTTTTGCGTGTTCAAGCGAGCTTGAAGCCAATGCTAAGCGGAATTTAACCGCGCTATCCCACCTCTGATGTGTAATTCACACTCCTCCTCTTCGACCCCTTCTTTAAGCTTGCACTCAACTTTCCAGTAAAACCACTTGGCATTACCACGTTGAAAGTACATGTGCTGTTACTGTCTACTTACCGAGTCCCGTGATAAAGCTGGACAGTTTCTTAACAATAAGATTTGTGTCTTTTCGTAAAAAAAAAGTTGGCATCACATTTCATACACAGCCAAACTTAGTTAGTAACAATTGGGAGAGAGCTTTACTTGATATTCAGCCGTTTAAATTTTGCTTACCCGTATACAAGAGGGAATATGCTGTTTCCGTTTTGATAGGATGAATTAAGTCATTATTCGAAAATGTCTTATTACTGGACAAACGTACGGTATTGGAGCTTGACGATTAATCTGTGTGACATCGTAACTGATTAGTTTTTTGAGGAGAGCTGCTCCACTTGATATAGAATAATGAGGAGGTTAACTAATGTTGGTCTAATCAGAGCAGTCTAAAAAGCTTTTTTTAGTCTCTTCTTAAAACAAAGAGTTTTCTTTCATGAACAATAAATTATGGTATAATTTGGTTTTATCAACTGAGTTTACATTGTAAACTGGCCACAGTGAAGAGTTAACTCACCAAACAAGGTTACATTGCGTGCAGTTCAAGTATGAAACCAGATTTACAATGTATCAAAAAAAGCAATAACAAGATTGGTTGGCCATCATAGCTTCATGACGTCACAATGTTAATCACTACATAATTATGACGCGCAACTTAATCCACACATCCCCCGCGATATTCCTTCAGATAAAGTGTGCTCAGTCTATAATTAAACTGAAAACTGCGAATAGGTATTAAGATATGCATATTTAAGGTAATGATTGAGTGCGCGCAGAAAGAGGTTATTGAGTTATTTCCTGATGATTCATGGCTATTTTGTAATGTTTCAAGATCATTTCACAATGACGATTGGGCAATAAACCTTAAACCAGGCTAAAAGTTTATCGGTATATTTTAAAACATATTTGTGGTTATTTAAACAAAACCTACTGTTCCCTCTTATCAGCGTTGCCTAAACCCATTTCTGACACAACAGGTTGATCTCTCTCCAAAATAGTTTTTCTTGGACGTCGAAACAAACTTTCGTCTTAAATTTCCTTCTAGCAACTTGCAATTTTTCATCCTGGCAATCCCAGAAATATTTTCGCAAACAGAGGGATCCGATAACTGATAACTCATCCATTGCTCTTAGATTTAGTCGAATAATTTGTTTGAACAGGCTTTCTTGCGCGGCGCGGGACGAAATGAGCACAGGCACAAGTTCAAATGTGCTTTCCCATTCGTACTTTTACACCTGCGTATCTGTTGGTATCGAGGAGCTCGCGCTCTCACTTTGACAGGCGGATTTAATATATTTTCAGTTATCATAACGTTCCTCAAGACGCACTCTCACCGAACAATACAGTTTTGCCGAGTGCAACCTGACATATTTTCCTTCATGAATATTTACCGTTTTTAGTCTCCATGTTGATTTTATTATTACTGTTTTAGCACAGTAAGTTAAATATAGGTATCCATTCGATCATCTTAAAATGTTCTTACCATTAATTCTACGTACCAACAAGCCCGTCAAACATAATTGTGTTTTAATGGGTGGAGTTTTTGGGGTGAATGGAAGGTCCTTTGGTTTAATGCATGACGTTATTTAGTGATTATATTTTAAGCTTTTCCTTAAGCCCCAGCAAGGAATGTCCCGCTTGCAGTTCCGTTAGAGCCTTTGTATTTCTACATATCAACGTGTGACTGGCATACAGTAAATTATACGTCAAGTACATTTTAAGTTAAGTTGAATTTACAGGAGATGTTTTCGGAAGCTCCATTTTTTATTCGTCAGTATCGATCGATGTTCAATTTGCATAGTCTCTGTAACCCTTAAAGCTTAATTTTTTTAAAAAAACAAACAAACAAACATACAAAAAGAAAAAAATAAGTAGGGATTAGTGTAATAGAATTCCTACCATAAACTTATGAAAAGATGAATCTAACAAACCCCTATACGACGACATGACCTCATTTTTAACAATGTTTATCGCACATCATTTCCATATTAGTATGGCAGTTTTTCTCTGAGAATCCTCTGCCACACCTCTTCTTCATGTGTCGGAACAAGTTCTTCATCTTGGGTTTAAAATAACGGTAAGATTCGCTGTTAAGGTCCAAACAAATCGACCTCAGCAGGAAGCCAAGGCAATTTCATCAGCTTATTCGGGGGACAGCGTAAAATTTGACAGTTGATGAAGGTCAAGAACTGAACAGTTTAGCTGAGCGGGTGGGTACCCGGGTACGCCCAAACAGCATCTCTGAGTGCTTTAGCTGGTCTAGAGTAAGTATATATTTTTTTCCACCGAGGATCGTTTAAAATCCATGGCAAAGTTTTCTTCCGTGTTTTGTGTCTTTCTGTCGCTTTGATCATGAATATGCCCGGTCTTTGTCAGGTTATTAGTTCACGCCACTTGCTTGACCAAGCAGTCGTGTAAGTTTCACAATTAACACACCTGTTGCTGTCGAATGAAAGCTTAACTAGTTTGTCTATTGAGGCAAAGAGATCATACAAATGGATTTCTTGCTTCGCTGAAATAGTTCTGAATGCAATAGTTAGGATGGCTTTTTCTGTTCCGCATAAAACCTGGAAACATTTCCACCTCATAACTCTGCCAATGCTTTTTGCAACCTCTCAGCTTAAAGGCACTTCTGATAGCTATTTTTGAATAGATGAACCAGGGTATTACTCAGAAATCGTAAAGCTGTTTCTCGATATGTTGTCTAATGTACCACCATCTCCCACATTGGTTTTATACGAACCATGCAATGCGCGGTGCTATAAATGGTTTCGTTTCGTTATTGCGAAAGCACAATCACGATCTCCTAAGCAATACCGTGCAATTCCCTCTTTTAGTTTAACACTATTCACTCTCTTAAACTTCTTCTCCTTCCTACTTGCAGTGAATTCGATGTAGTTGTCAATGGTTGGAGAGCAAGGAAATCGAACGTCCGGGCCTAGGAACACTGCGTCCCGTTCAGTACCAAACAGTTACTGGTGGAAACGAATTCATAATTTGAATGCACGGTCAGGAGTGCAAGAGGCCAGTGGTGGCCTTAACCGTGCCGAAAAATTTAGCTCACTTGTGTCATGTCACCGTGGATATGGATCTGTGGCATTTTACGCCGTTTTTTCTTTGTTTATTTTGACATTCCTGTACGCCATTTGGAAAATTGTCAGCGCTCACTCTCGTTCAACAAGGAGGCCTGGTTCTAGTAACTCAACATCAACCACTAAGCTAGGTCCCACGGCGCATGCCCTCACGGGCTATTCCAACGCTTATCCTTGGATGACAACAGAAAGCATAACGGAACATTTTCACCAAAACGCGAAGGGATTTCATCACTTTCAAAACGAGGCTCCACCACAAAGGCCCTCGTCTTCAGTTTATTTTCCTTCACAAGGTAACGAGCGCGAAAAAATTACATCTGTTACCAACAATGACGATCCTTTACTTGGAGGAAATGTTGCACTCAGGAACCTATCGCCAACTTTGCCATCTCGAGTGAGGGCGACAAAACACTCATTTTATAATTATTACCAAGAATCTTTCAAAAGCATTCAGCCAGCCTTGAATTACCCATTAGGACAATACCCCGCTGTTTTTAATCCACTACCACCCAGAGTGCCTTATCCCAAAGCATATTATCCTTTTTCTCAGCCTCCGATACCGGAGGGTGTGATGGAAAATCAGAATTATCCATTCGAAACCAAGGCTTCTGGCCCATTTCCATATAGCAGCGATTCCGTCAGAATATTCAATGATAAGCCGGCCTTTTTGTCATATCCTGTGGAATCTAATGTCTCCTCCATAGCCCCCTATTACTTTCCTTCCAGCAAGATTTCTATGCCCAGAAGTTCCTTCAGCAACGGTTATGGAGAGGGCCCCTTCATGACTAATTTTGGTGGAGCAGAAACTACTCCATCCCCTCTCATTTCCTTCCTAAAAGGAACTTCTAGCAAAATCGGTTTAACACCGCATCAAACAAATCATGCAAGAAATGGGAGGAAGAAGCCTCGAAAAAAATTTAGAAGACACAAGAAAAGGAAACAGAGCCTTCATTTCAGAAAACACTCGGAATACGTAGAAATTCAGGATATAGAAGAGGAAAGCAATAGGGCTTTGGGAAAAGCTTCTTCAACAAGATATCACAAAATTAAAGGTTACAGGAAAGCGGTAAGACTAAACAAGGAAAGTCATCGCACACGAAAACTGGATAAGGGCCGTAATAATCGATTGACGGTTAGAGGGGTGCGTCACAGATCACATGTTCTGGCATCAAGACGAGCGCAAACTTCATCAAAAACTGAGGTTCACCACACTCATCATGGATTGAAAAAGAGAGCACAACATAGGAGACGTCATGACAAATCAAACCAGTCACTTTATAGAAGGACTAATATTCCATACCCACAGATAACTGTGCGAACCGGTCACTTACAGCATTTGCATCATCCCCTCAGAGAGAAGGATCATGTGATTCATCGTCATTCAAAAGGTTTAGGCGGCGACCACGTCACACACGAGAGGCATAAAAAAATTTTGGATTTCAAATTATATCATCGTTACCGAAAACAACATTCTGTCAATGACGAAATTCGAGGTAAATGGCATATTAGCAGGCATCGTGTTAGAACGTGCAAAGTTATTGATACTTTTTCAACTCGAGGAACCGTGAAAATTACAAGGGTGGTGAGTCACAATAGGCAATATTTTCACACATTACTCGCGTGTCGACCTGTAAGATTAAGAACAAGGCATAGAAACCATCGGAGGTTTTCCGTCAAATATGCTCAGCTGTGTAGTAAAAGGTGGTACGTAACTAAAGGTGTTATCCACATTCAGAAAACAGCTCCGAATGATAAAGAAATTCCACGATATAACGTGCGTATTTGTGACCCTTCTTATGCGCACGCCATGAAACTACTGCCTGCCAAAGGGAAAGAAACCAGGGTTTGGAGTTTATCTCAAGAATTTCTTCGTAAACTTGAGAAAGGGGATGAGAGTAAATCTAAATTGAGCTTTTCATCTTCGAAGCGTGGTCACAAGCAAAAGGAAAAGAGAGTAAAGTTATGACAGCACACCAAAAAGAAAACCTCAAGGTCAAAAGTGACCCGCAAATCCAACAAAAAACCAAGAAAGTACCACAAAACCAAGAAAGCGGAGAAAATTGTTCATCGTCGTGTGCACAAAAAAAGTCACCACCTGAAACTTAAACATGTCAAACAGCGTAAACTAAAGAAAAGACATGGAGGACAGAAGAAGAAACATGACGGGAAAGTGAAGGGCGGTTTAGGAAAGAAAAAGAACAAACCTTCATCCAAGAAAACCAGAGAACAAATTGAAAATCTAGATAAACCATTCTACAGAAAGCTTTTACGAGTTCTTAAACTTGCCAGGACGTATGAGAAGAAAAAGGATAACAAAACAAATAACGATAACGTTTTTGATTCTCTTGAAGCTGTTCTTACGCAAAATAGAAATGTGGACAAAAACCCCAACAAAAGTAACAACTCCACTTCAATGATAACTCACGTGAAAGAAAATAATGGAACCAAACACAACGAAAGAGACGGAGACTTACCAAGACACCCGAAAAATGGCCAAAAGGATGGTAAGTACAACATTCAAAGGCTGTTGGCGAAAATACTTCCTTCAGTAGTAGCTAAAATCATCAACACTGATCATGATGGCGGCGAATCAGAATCCACCAAGGTAAAGAATAAACCAACAAAAAGCACTGCTACGCCAAAAACGACGACAAAAAAGTCTACACCAACGAATAAGATAACTACCCCGACGAAAAATACGTCAGGTGAAAAAAGCATGGCAGACATCATGAAAAGCATTCTTCCACTCCTGCTTAAGAAGGCTGGCAAAGACGGAACTAAGCTGATTCAAGGTTTTAAATCGAAGCTTAAGGCGAAAAAGCCACCATTCCCAACAAAACAAACATCTTCAAAACCCAAGAGGATAATGGACAGGACAAGTTTGACGAGTATTTTATCAAATTTAGGTATAGGAAACTTAGAGTCAAATAGTCTGAGCAGTGTAATTCTTGCAAAACCGACGGCCATGATTGCGATACCTCCATTGAAATCCAAGCCAAAATCAACTGCTATCCCTCCGAAGACTACTGTAATAACGAAGATTCCGCTCCAGTCACCAACCACCCAACTAAAACCAACACCACCAGCTGTTACAATCCAACCTCCTCCTACCCTGAGAGAAAATTCACAGATTTCGTTTGCAGGACCTCCATCCATTTCTCTTTCAGAACCTTCCTCTGTGCAGTCACCAGAGTCTCTACCAGCATCCTCTCCGATAACTTCCTCACCCCAAAGGTCTTTTTCAGATCCTTACTCGCGAAACATTTTGTGTTTTGGAGATAGCTTAACTAATGGCTTTTTCAACCACGGGCGCAATTACCACCCCTACAGTCAACGACTCGGTCAACTGCTAAATTCTGACGGTAGACTGAAGTATTACGTCAAAACGAGTGGAAAAGTGCGCGAAATGGCACATGGCAGCATGACCAAGCGCTTGCCTCAGGTATTGGGAAACAGCTCACGATTTGATTGGGTGATTATTTTGGGTGGAACCAATGACGTGGCGCATGTTAAGAACTTTGGAGACGATGATTCATTTATGACGCAGTTAATTAACGTGTGGCAGCCACGAATTGCTCGTGATATTGAAATGCTCCATGAAACAGCGCATCGGTACGGTGCTCGAACTCTCCTTTTAACTATTCCGGAAACGGCTTACGAAGCTTGGCCTAGTTTTAAGACCTTGTGGGTTATGCGTAAAAGACTGAACGAAGACTTAAGGAATTATGCGCGTAGATCACAAGGAAATGTAGTGTTGTGCGACTTGGCCGCTAAGCTTCAAAGACATTCGCTTCCGCCTCAAACCCAGGCTCTTTTGTGGAATGATCACCTTCATCCGACAGCTTATGGCTACGACAAGATGGCTGAGATAATATATCAGTGCTTAAAACCGTACCTACGTTGATGCATCTGACAAGAGGATGACAACTGTTGTTCTACGAAAGTTTAGTCAGCTCGTAGTGTTTTTTTTATATAATAAACATAGGGTGAGAAAAAATTTTGCCGTTGGTAATATTTTGAGTACCTTGCATTTTGTATACATAGATATATTTATACATATTTTTTAAATCGCAAAGTACATAAACGATTATTTTCTTTCTGATTGCATTATTACATATAAGAATCCTATAGTTTTTTTCAGTGCTTGTAATTTTTTTAATAGCTTTCAGTTACCGATACATTACTCGTGCCATTCTTTTTATAGCCACGTTAAGTACTTTAGTGGTGAATTCAGGACATTAAGAATTATACCTGACATTAAGATATTTATCTTAAACAATTGAAACTTGTTTTTCTGAAGAGTGTGCTCTTTTTAATGTTCATGCATTATCAAAGTGTAATCCTATTTGTCCCCTGTACAACACAACACGAGACCAAATTAAATCCAGTTTTTGAGAAAAAAAATCATTGTTTAGGATGTAGTAAGGAAATAACATAAAATATTGTCATTCCATTCTAGAGACATATGAATCTACATGGTAGTTTTTCCACTTTCTTTAATTAATTTATCGGTAAAAATGAATCGAAATGGCCATAATAGGGCGTTTGTGTCACTGGATTCGCAAATCAAACTTCCAGAATAGTCAGAAATTCACTTACAGTGAGAGGACATGAAGCGAAATCAGTTTCCGATGAGATTTCTTTACCGTTTTTAACATCACTAGGATTTTATAAGACGTAATTCATAAACAAGATGTGTCTGGTACTTTGGACGATCTATGTCAGGTTCATTCTAACAATCAAACTCTGTCATGCGTTACCAAGTACCAGTCGATAGTTGGATGTCTCCGCAAAGGAATGAGCTGTTCTCGCGAATTAGCTCTGATTTTGGATGGATTCATCATTCAGCAGAGATGAGAAAAAACTGCGATCGAATTGACATGTTGAAATAAGACTAATTTGGGGCTCTTTTTCATCTGAGGTAATGTCGAAGAGCGCTTTTAAGATTCAAGGCAAGGAAACTATTTACAACTTGTACGGGTTAATCATTTCCAATTAGACAGAGGGAGCTCTCAAAGGTATATAACACAATCCAGGAACCCTTTAAAATTAATGGCAGACGAGAAAAGAGTGGCACAAAACAATGTAAGGAGAAAAGATTTTTACCGCACCATGGACAAAGGACGATGGCTCTCCAAAGCATTTTACACTTCATTTTACGTGGCTATTGGGGCACTGTTTCCTTATTTACCGGTTTATTTCAAACAGTTGAGATTATCTTCTCATCAAAACGGAATCCTTATTGGTATCCGTCCACTGATTCAGTTTTGTGTAACTCCTCTGTGGGGCGCATGCGCAGATAGGTTCTGCAAAAGCAAGGGTATATTTCTAATGTCGGTATTAGGTTGGTTAGTGTCAAACTTTTTATTGTCATTAGTTCCAACCACTGATGAGCCTGGTAGGTGCGAACTTTACAACAACAACAATAGCAAGTACAATACATACAACGATGGTGATAATAGAGAAATTTCATTGCCGAAGAGTCACACATCTTCACTTAAATTCACGAGAAACTTTTCCTACTCAAAGATGGTTACTCATCAGCATACAAGAAAATACGATTTTTATTCCAGAGTGTCGCCGTATCTTGACACAACTGTACCGTTCTTTCCTATAACATTTAGAGATCTGAAGGATGTTTGTAACGTTACTATACACAACCATGACAAAGAAGAGGAAGGCCTGAGGATTAATAACGACTTAAAAGATCAGACGGAAGTGGCGTCCTCAGAGCATTCAGCTCAAAAGCCTCCTCAAGATTTTACGAGTGCTCTAGCAACGGGGGTTGAGTACGTTGAATGTGACTCCAAGGAGTTTTTATTCTTGTTACTTGTAACTATAATTGGTACTGCGATTGCAGCTCCAGCACAAGCATTTGCAGATACTGTAACGCTTCAAAGTCTCAACGGGGAAACTCATAAGTATGGTCGAGTAAGACTCTGGGGATCTCTGGGTTGGGGCATTGGAGGATTTTCCGTCGGAGCTGCAGTCAGCGCGAACTATCACACAAATCAATGCGGTGAGACTGTTATCGACTATATGCCATGTTTTTACGTTTATGCGGCGGCAATGAGTGTGGCGTTTGTATGCGCTACCCAGTTTCAATTTGATCAGCCTTTTGTCAAAGAAGAACAAGAAGTAAATGTCGTAGATGGCTCAAAGACTCAAAAAATTCTACAAGGACTCAAGGTTTTTCGCAATCCTCAATTCTGTTTTGTCATGTTCATTGCGTTTTTTTGCGGTTCAGCCACGGGATTTATAGAAACTTTTCTATTTTGGTATCTTCACGAATTAGGGGGAGGGCAGTTATTATTCAGCGTTATAAATGGGCTTAACTGTGCGGCAGAAGTATGTGTGTTTTTTGTGACCGACAAGTTACTCAGTTTTCTCGGACACATCAATGTTATCTACGTCGCGTTGTTTTGTTACTCTCTCCGCTTTACATATTTCTTTTTCATGAAAAGTCCTTGGGCAGTTTTACCTGCTGAATTACTCCAAGGAATTACCACGGCAGCATTCTGGTCATCGTGTGTTTCATACGTTGGTTTACATCCCGGAGCATCAAACACAGTTCAAGGAATTCTAAGTGGAGTTTACATGGGACTTGGTTTCGCGTCTGGTGGGTTTATGGGAGGATTTCTTGTCCAATTTGCCGAAATGAAGACTTTGTTTCTCTTATACGCTCTTGCTAGTTTTTGTGTCCTTATAATTTTTGTTGTTTTAAACAAGGTCGAATCAAAACCATAAGATAACTCATTTATCTCGCTCTATTTTTATTTGTGGAATACTTTTCGGTATGTAATGATGGGAGATATGCTTTTAATCTTTTTAAATGTCGGTTTACCGTTGTTCTTTTCAGAGTGAAATTGGTTAATCAAATATTTTCTAATTGTAACAGCGACAAAAGCAAAAGACTTAACTGGTAATTCGGTTACTGACTTTAGCCTAAGCAAGATGTTTCCTCTTTAAATAACCAGCTGGTTAAAACTAAACCTTTTTTTTCGAGTACTTCTATCTAAATTATCTTTGAAAGACAATATATCTGAGATTTTCGCAAATTCGTTTATTCAAGTTACGCAAAAACATTACGATAGCGAAAGCGTCTAACATGTACATAGTACAACAGTAGCATGATGTTTTAAACTAATTTTGACTTTTTGGTTTATCTTCGAATATTTTGTTTACTGACGCAAACATTAACAGCATAATTAACCCGAGACCGCCAAATATAGAGAATGTTACTTGAGCTCCATAGGTACTGAAGAGGAAACCTCCTATAACTCGCCCTAGTCCATGACCTACCCCATGATACACGCCATGAAGCATACCTGTTGATAGAGGCAACATGGCGTCAGTAAATTGCCGGAGCATAGAAAGCTTACAAAGGTGGTCTGTCTCAAGTGGTGATTTAATAAACAACAGTTCAAATTTACTGCAACATTAGAAATGTCTGTTGCAAACAGTTACTATCTATGACAAGTTCTTTAAACGGCAACAGATATAGTTCATGACTGGTTTAAAATGGAACAAAAGACCTGTTACGGAGGGAGAGTCACTTGGCGTAAAAACTAAGTACAACCATATTAGGTAATTTTGCTTTTATCAACTAAGTTGATAATGTCAATTGGTCATCGTAAAGAATTTCAAAGCTAATAATAATAATGATAATATAATAAAGTATTTATATAGCGCTAAACAAGAATGACACAATCGTAAAATTAGAAAAACGCTTTTTTAAAAAGAAGAGTTTTAATTTGTTTTTAAAAACGGACACTGAGGAGCTGTTCCAAGCGTTAGCTAACGTTGATAAGAGCTAACGTTCCGAGCGTTAGCCCCTCGTCAAAGCAAATGGAGTAGTTGTAGTTGTAGGGTGTGTGTGTTTACTTTTTCCTCCGTTCGCTCTGAAGGAGGGATAACGAAACGTCAGCTTTGAAACTCTTTATGTTGACCGATTCACGTTATCAACTTAGCTGATAAAACCAAAAGTGGCTTGTTATACTCCCCCATCGACACCGGAATCTTACCCCTTTATTTATAAGTACCTGCATTTTTCATTTCTTCGTGGTTTAACAAAAGCTATTTCCTTTAAGACCTTTTAAGTTCGTTAATAAGCCTGGTACTGCCAATCACCACGTATTTCATCAAGTCAGGTAACTAACATATTAGTTCTAAAAGTGTCCATCTTACACACATAACTCAAGAGTCAGAAATAACAGCTTTCACCTTGTAAAGTGGCAGGGGCTCCTTCCACAGAGTTATATGCAATATACGTCACAAATCCTGCCCAGCCTCCTGCAGATGTTAATCCTGACAAAACCTCAATGAAAAGGTAACACCACGGATTGGTAACGAATACGTAACTTGTCAATCGCACCACATAACACGCTAACACAAGGTACAGCAAATTATGCACCCCTATTTTAATTATAACGTGAGGGGACACAGAATATACTATGACGTCTGCAATACATCGTACCACTGGTATTATGCTAAACATTATCTGTGGGGAATAACAGTCCTCCAAATGCCAAAATAGGAACCCCATAATCATGCCAAATGTCATTCCACTGTAAAGAACTATCACAAAAAATGCCAAATAACGAGGACGACTCACTGCTTCTAACGCTGCCATAACACCACTGCGCCTTTCCCTTACCATGTCATCGGTATTGTCTTTACCGTTTAAATCGAAATCAAGCCGAAGCCCCGAGAAAAGAGCTAAAAGTTTCAATGAAATGGAGCCATAAAAACATAGACTATAGTCAATAGTTCTTTTTTGCCCAGGTACCAACGGACACAAATATTTGTCGCTAACCATCGCACCGAAAGTAAACGCCGCCAAACCCCACCCTATTGAGGCCCATCTTTTCTGCTTTCCATACTGATGTATATCGTTCTTTCTCCGCAAGAGGCATACAGCAGCTGCATCACCAAGAGCAAGGCCTGGACACGAGAATATCGTACCAACTAAACTGACTAACAACAGGTATAAAAATACGTCGAATTTGTTCTGGTGACGGCCACCTTGCTTGTCACTGAGTGCGAGGAAATCATTGAGTTCTTCCCCTCCAACTGGCCATCTGTTAAAATTCTGTGATTCTGCTATTACCTGATACATCTTTTTAAAAACAGACTGATTTTTCACTGATATTAATTCGCGATGAATGTCTCCTGTAGGTTTGTCTTTGCATGTTGGCATTGGAGTCAGTAGAAAAGCTATTCCAACAGCCACTAGAGCAGTGAACGAAATTACGAATACCAGTTTGCCTTTCTTAGTCTTGTCCGATAATGCGCCCCACATGGGGGTAAATGCGAATGATATAAATGGTTGAATACCGGAGATGATTCCGGCCTTTTTGGCCGGTAGACCTAACTGTTTATAGAACAAGGGCAAAAACGGGAGTATAGCGCCAAGTGCAGCAAAATAAAAGAAATAAAACATCTTTGAAACGACATATTTTTGGTTGAAATATCCGCAGCAAAGGTATGCGTCGCTGTGTTGTTTAGATTCTTCATCCGGGTGACAAGAGCTGATACTCCCTTCATTTGACATTTTTCATGATATTGACTCAGACAGCCTTGATCAGCCTGTATTGTGCTTGCAACCGAGCTCTGTGAAGAAAGGAAATACGGATAGAGAAAGTGTAATTATGATTTAGGGAAGATGAAAATTTACCCCACATAAGAATCATCGAACACAGAATCTTGCATTATTTTACCCGTAACCATGAGCCAAAAATGGCCTAGTGCGCATGTGGGATACATTATAGACTTATGGAGTTATCACTGACAATTTCGATTTCTCCTAGTTTATTGTTTAATGGCCTGATAACGTCAGAGGTTATTTAAAATACTTTGTCCAAGACGAAATATACCACTGTGACCCTGTTCCAAATCTGGTGCCTGTTTTAAGCCTCTCTGCAAGCATGCTCAGCGAATTTGTTACTTCCCTCTCCTCGGGCGTCCTGCTCAAAAAATTAGTGCAGCGCAACTTACTCCCCGCCTTCCCTGCGGTCCTTCCTCTGCTTTAGTGATCCAGAAAGAGTTTGAGTATGCGGAGGAATCTATTGTACCATCACTTGCAAACGCGACCCCTGTCTAGTCTGGCATCCATTGGATTCTTGTTACATCGGGTACTTCTCAATTTGCAGGAGGCACTGGAACTTTAGAGAGTGGGTTCTGCAAAGAAACAAAGGCAGTAACTCTCTAAAAAGTTTTTTTTCGGGGAGGGTAGCGAGCTTAGTATCTTGATATTGCATCAGCTAGCTGATTAATCGCAACATTTTGATCCGATCATTGCAGATTGCATTGTTAGCCGTCCTGGGGGGGGAATACTCGATATATTCCTGGGTGGGGAGGTGCGGCGCGGCCCCTTATACCCTGACCCTATTTAAGACAAATATCACTGATTTTCCTACCCTGTTTAAGACAGAATTCCGATTTTTGATACC